TTTGGGTAATTCAATGGGAAAGATTGGCCCTACCCGTTTTCAAGTAGATTAGAATTAGTTTTTTGAATATATTAATGAGGTGGTGTTAGTAGTCGGAATAAAAACCATAACGTAATGATTGGGTTATAGAGTGCTACCACGATGACCATAGCCTCTTTTCCATCAATGAGTTTGGGTCATCAAGGGTTGGGAGGCAGATGCCTCAACACCCTACATTCTCACTGTTAATATAAAAAAAAAAAGAAAAAAAAAGAAAAAAAGAAAAAAGAGATATAATATGTCAATGCTTCTCTATCTATATATATATATATATATATATAGAGGTGTTATTGCCTGTGAGGAAAAGTATGCAGAAGAAGAGCACAGGGATGGTGAGGGGAGGAGGTCCAAGTCGTGCCATGAAAGGTGCTTCACAAGCTTAAGAGAGAGAATGTGGTGCTTCACAAGTTTAAGAGAGAGAATGTGAACTATGTATATCACGTATCAGAAGGAGAAAAGCCCATTTTTGCTAAAGAAATATCTTAATTACCCTTGTCGATCTCTCTCCCATAACATCTATGGAGTTTTCCCATAACGTCTGTGGATTTTTCACTATTTTTATAAGTTGAATTTTGAAGTATCATTCAAGGGTATTTATGAAATTTCATTTTATAGGAAGGGTGGACTGTCTATGGAAATGATTATGACTAGAATGCCCTGACTGTCTATGAGCTTTTCTTAACGAGTCCATGTCGTATTTTCCGGGCATTTCTTGGTTTAGCAAATCGCCAGGGTAAAACTGTAAACTGTCGCCAACGCTCGTTAATTTTGGAGCCATCACCGTCTACAATTTCGGCAAATTCCAACAAATCGCTGAATTCAGCTGGAAACTCCTACAATAAGCTTTTTTGTCCCCGAAAATTAAACCAATTTTTTTTACTTGTTGATTTAATAATTAGGGCTGGCAACGGGTCAGATCCGGCGAGACTCGGACCCGGACCCGACAAACATTTATGGGGCCCAGACTCGAAGTTATCAAACCCAGACTTGCAGGTATCAGACCCAGACCCGATTGGACCATGACCCGGAACCGACCAAAACATAAAAAATATATTTAAATATTATGTTAAATATTATATATATATATATATATATATATATATATATATATTAATATATAATAAATACATATATATTATTATAGTAAATTATATAGAGACGAGACTACTAACTAATACTAAATTAAGTAGACCACCATAACTTAAAACTTTACAACCAAAAGTAAGGTTTAGGTTTTAGTAAGT